AGGGTTTGCCCCTCAGCTTGGCAATATTAGATGGCAGAATCTTTGAGAGGTGGGGTGTCGTGGGAGGGCATCAGATCATGGTGGGTGTGTGGCATTAAAGCTATTTGTGGGATCCCAGCCCCTTTCTCTCCCTCTGCTCTACTCCCTGCCCAAGATGGTGAGCACTTTTGCTCCACCGCACGCTCCTGCCATGATGTGCTGCCTCGCCATAGGCCCAAGGCAACATGGCCAATAAACCATGGACTGAATCCAACCTCTGAAACCATGAACCAAAATAAGCTTTTCTCTTTATAAGCTGGTCAGCTCAGGCATCTTTTAGAGTAATAGAAAGCTGACTAAGAAAGGCTGCTACAGTGAAATTCTGTAGCCTGGATGGTATAAATAACGGGTATTTATTTATTTATTGGATCTTTTTGAGACAGGGTCTTGCTATGCAGTTCAGGCTGGCTGTGAGCTTACACTGTAGCCCAGGCTGATCTCGAGTTTGCAATGATCCTCCTGCCTCAGCCTCCTGAGTGCTGGGATTACAGGCATGTGCCACCTCGCCTGGCAGGGCATTTATTCCTTACAGATCCGGAGGCTGGGAACTCAGACCTGTCAGCAGGTTTGTCTTGGTGAAGATTCTCTTCCTGCTTGCAGACAGCTGCCTCCTTGCTGTGCCGTTCCATGGAGAAACAGAGAGGGCGAGGAAGGCCTGGTTTCTCTTCTTCTTCTTAGAAGGACCCTAACTCCATCATGGGGCTTCACCCTTACAGACCTCATCTGAAGCTAATTATCTCTTAAAGGCCCACATTCTGATCATTGGAGATTAGAGTTTCAGCCTATGAATGCAGGGGACACATTTAGTCCATAATAACTAAAAATATCAATTCCTTAATGCATAGTTTCTCTACAGGACAGCTTATGAACCAGCTGTTTTTCCTCCGAGCAAGTGGGTAAGAGAGAGCACTCAAGACAGAAGCCACAGTCTTTGTGTAAACTCGCCTCTAAGGTTACATTTTAGCACTTTCACTGCATTATATTTGTTTAAAGTGAGTCGCACATTCCAGGGGAGAGGAGTACTCAGCTGGGGCCCGAATACCAAGAGGCAGAGACCACTGGTGAGCGTTTCTGCAGGCTGCCTACGACAGATAATACAATGAAAGACCGCTATATTGAGCAGAGATAGTCTAAAAATCAGTAATTATAGTCCGACCGTAATGAGCATGTTAATATAAAAGGTGCTAACAGGTGGTGGTGCTACATACAGAAGGTTTAAAATTTCTGTTTTTATTAAATATGAAACTGATATACAAAATTGATATCTATAACACACATGTAGGCTATAAACAAGAGTGATACGCACACGACTGCACTACCTAGTAGAAAAGAAGGGGTGACGAGGACTCGCAAGGTCTCCAGTGCCACCCGTTCCCTCCTTCTCAGGCCTCACCGTCATGCTGAATTTTGTGATCATTATTCACTTTGTCTTACTGTTTTACCACAGACGCTCGTATCCCTACACAAATACCGCTTGACTTTTTCCTGCCTTCGACTTTAAATGGAGTCACATACGTATGCACTTCTCTCAAGATGATGCTCTGAAGTTTATCCACCTGATGACTTCACACTAATGTTTTCAGTTTGAACCAAACCTCACTGAACTCTTCACACATCGCCCCAACACAAGAGCAAACTTAAGTCATTGTCTGAGCCGTGAGCTTTCCCTTCATTTTTCTACGCAACATTGTATGACATATGACAACTGATTTAAATGTGTCTTGATGGACCTTTGGGTTAGTTCTTTTTGCTTGGTCAATAGAGCTTCTGTGAATATCACTGAGCTTGCTCCTGGCATCCTTGTGCAAAAATCTTCTTCCCAGACTACACCTGGAAAAGGAAGTGTTGGGTCAAAGGCATTTCAGCTTTAAGAGATAATGCCAAATTGTTTTCCAAGGTAGGTATAGTAATTTACTTTCCTACCAATATTGAGTAAAGGTTCCAGTTATTCTAAATCCTATCCAACCCTTGATGCTGTCTCAGTTTTTCATTTTTGCCAATCTGGAAGGCATTAAATGGCATTTAGAGGTTTTGATTTGTATTTCAAACACGAATTGTAATGTTTTACCATACTGGCAAGTACTATCCAGTGATCAAATGAGATTCTGAACTCTATATTTAACTTTTAGCTGTCATCTGTGCAACTATTTACAACTGTTACTTTAGCTAAACATCACACCTGCCCAAATTCTTTGGATAAAAGTGAACTGCAAAGAATCAAGATTTGGGGATGGGGATGTGGCTCAGTGGTAGGGCTCTTGCCTTACATGCACAAGGCTCTGGGTTCAGTCCCCAGCACATTAAAAAAAAGTTTAAAAAAAGAATCAAGATTTGGAATAATAACTTACTGTCATCCCTGTATTGCAAAGTGGTATGGGTATAGATAATAAAATGGCAAAGAAAATAATTTTCACGCTGGGAGTGTAGCTCAGTGATAGAGTAAATGCTTGGCATGCACAATGCCGCAGTTCAGTTCCTAGCATGGTTACACACACACAAGACTCAGGGGAAACTAATTTTCATGGACATTTGTCTCGGTTACCTTTTCTTGCTGCTGGGACAAAATACCTGACGCCCAAAATTAAGGAAGGAAAAGTTTATTTTGCTTACAGTTTGTGGAAGTTTCAGTCTGTATTTGGCAGATTATAAGGCAGAGTGGCACGTGGCAGAGGGCTGTATCTCAGGGTGGCAGCACACAGCTAAGCTGCAAGCACCCACCAGGGCGGAATGGGGGAGGAATGCCCCCAAGCAGCTTCTTCCTCTCCCTTACATATGCAAACTATCCACTCTAGGGCGGGTGCAGCTCTCACACCCATATTTAAATTCTAAAAGCCTGCCCCATGTCCCCATGAGGCATTGGGGGGACACGCAGACATAAACCATAACAACATTGTACTTCTTACATATTTAAGTTAGTATTTTATGTGAACGTATTATAAATGAATTAAGAGAAAAAGTAAGTCGCGCCCATGTGGTTTATACCCCATCTCTGCTGCCTTAAAGGATATACTGTACAAGAAAAAAGTGAGACCTCTGTGGGCCTGACACTTTTTGTCCCAGGAGATGGTGGTGTTATTAAAGCCTTAACAGGATTTGCATCGTCAGGGATTTAGATATCACTCTGGCTTGTTAATTTTGGATGGTAAACCTGCTGACATAGGGATTGATTAAATGCTAAACTTAGTGAGGTCACATCCTGATTGGACTTGATTCAAGAAACGTGTTCCAGGACAAGGCCAAGGTCCAAGTGCAAGGCCAAATAGGCAAGAAATCAGCTGAGCAGTATCAGCCACTGGGAGTCTGACCTGGAAAGTAGAGCTCAAGAAATGGAACTTGCCGAGCATTTGGCTTAATTGCAGGATGAACTTGGACCCTAGGTGGCTGAGTGGACCTGACTTGTTTTTGGTTTTGTTTTGTTTTTTTGAGACAGGGTCTTGCTACATAGTTCAGGCTGGCCTTGACCTCACTATGTAGTCCAGGCTGGCCTCTCACTTGTGGCAATTCTGCCTGCCAAGCACTGGGATTACAGGCGTGGCCCACCGTGCCCCCGACAAGTAACCCTGACTTGGGAAGGGGTTGAGCAGTGACAGAACAAATGGTGGAAAAGTGCTGGGTGTAGTGGCTGGGGATTTAGCTCAGCGGCAAAGTGCCTGCCTGGCAAGCAGAAGGTCGTGAGTTCAGTTCCCGGTACCGGAAAAAAACAACAAAAAAAAGAAAAACAAGACAAAAACAACAACAACAAAAAACTGCTGGGTGCACTTGGTCTTCTGTCAGCATTAGCTGAGAAAATAAGTCAGTTTGCAACTCATGGGTTGGAGCAAAAAATTTACATTATTGCAAAGCAATTTAGCATATCCACGAAGAACTTAACATGTTCTTGTTTTTCAGCCATGTAATTCTACCTCTAAGAATCTGCCCTGCTGAATTGCGGCTTCTACCCACAGCACTGTTACCCTCCCCTGCGCTCTCGGTTTCCTCACCCGCCAACTCCTGCCTATTTAGTCTACAGCCCCAGTCATGTTCTGGGAAGTGCACCTTTCAATTTCACGCCCAGCATTTCCTTGTTTGAGCTCTTGATAGGAGAATCTGCTCGGCAGATTATCGTTCCAAATCATGCAAGTAATAGGTCTTTGGCCAATCTACGGATTGGCGGCCCTGGATCAGATGTCTTCCCATGGGCCAATCAGCTCAGACCGAGAGGGGACAGCAGCCCGTCACTTCTCAGTGCAGACACCAGTGATGGGGCAGTTCCCCCTGTAAAGGGTAATCACTGAGGGCAGGCAAGCGCTGTCTCCGGAAAAGGAATCTAAGGAGACAGATTGGTGATCAAGAGGTGCATTAAAGTGCTTTTACAGTGCACTCGCGCGCGCGCGCGCGCGCACACGCACACACACACACACACACACACACACACACACACACACACGGTGCTAGTCACAGAGTAGGACTGATACGTGTAATAGGCTATCTGGGTGTTGGATAGGGAGCAACTAACGCAATGACTTTGAAGACATGAAAAACCCTGGGAAGTGCCCACAAAATATTACTTGGGGAAAAAAGTCTATGAAACTATATTGGTGAGAATTTTCTAAGAAAAACTTGGCATGTTTATTTTTTAATCTGTAAGGAAAGGTTAACGGGCTAGTATGTGCTAATTGGTGGCATGCAAGCTCTTTGATCAGTTTCCAAATGTTCCCTAAAGAAAGGGTCCTCTTATGACCGCCGCCACCGCGGCGCTGGGACCTGAACCCAGGACTCTGCATCTGCTAGGCAGGCACTCTGCCACTGAACGACACCCCCTGCCCTCGGGAGCTTTTTTACAACTCAGGGAGACGCTAAGTACTGCGGCCCACTTTCGTTCATTCCTACCGGGCCGGGCGGCCGGCTTCCCCGCCCCGCGCCAGGGCCGCCCCACCCCCACCCCCGCGCAGGCCTCGCTCCGCCCTCCCCTTCTCCCGCGGGAAAAGGCCCCTTTCCGCCGCGGGCCGCTTTTCTGCCCGCAAACCTTTCTCCGTTTATTGGGGGGCCGGCGGCCGCGGGCCCCGCCCCTTCCGCCTTCTGGGGCTCTCGGACTCCGCCCGGCCGCGCCATGGCTCCGCTACGCTTCTCCGCCAACCTGTCCTGGCTGTTCCCCGAGCTCCCCGGCCTTCCCGAGCGGTTGCAGGCCGCGAGCCGCGCGGGCTTCGAGGCCGCCGAGGTGGCCTGGCCGTACGCGGAGCCGCCCGAGGCGCTGGCGCAGGCGGCGCGGGCGGCAGGGCTGCGGCTGGTGCTGATCAACACGCCGCCGGGTGCGCCGGGCCAGGCCGGGCCGGGAGGGGCCGGGAGGGGCAGGGACACGGGCGCGCGAGCCGGGAATGAGGCCCGTTCTCTCCGCAGGAGACCAAGAGAAGGGGGAGATGGGGCTGGGGGCCGTGCCCGGGAGACAGGCGGCCTTCCGAGAGGGGCTGGAGAAGGCGGTGCTGTACGCCAAGACTCTGGGCTGCCCCAGGTATCCCGCCGTCCTCCCTGCGGCCGGAGGTCAGGAGGAGGGCGCCAGCGCGCTCGGAGGCGCAGGAGCCCGAGCGAACTTGCCCTCAGCCCCTCGTAGTCCTGATCCTTTGTAAACTGCCTTTTGTGTTTGATCTGTGTCATTCCGTGTGCCCAGCTTTCATGCTGACCCCATGCTGGGCGCTCAGTCTGACCAGGGCCACAGTAACACAAACACAGCCAGTGATCCACTGGCGAGAAGCTGCGGGAGCGGGTGTGGCTGGCGCTGGCCCCGACCGACCGGGAGGGGAGAAAGCCGCTGCAGACGCTTGGACGGAGTGGAGTGGGCGTCCGCAAGGACGCAGGGGCAGGGGCAGAGGCAGCTTGGGGTATTTAGCCAAATTCCTGAGGCCGGAGCTGTGGCCTGTTGGGGTCGAGAGGGCCTGAATTCCGGGAAACTGCTTGAACTTGGGATGTGGCCCTACCAGATCAGGAGGTGGGAGCTTCAAACCAGGACTGAGCAAATGTCAAATCCTGCAGAGGTCAAGTAGATTTGCTGGGAAGGAACTGACGAGGGGCTCATTACTTGCGTGGTGAGTGTGGGGGAGGAAACAGAAGGGAAGAGGCTAAGCAACAGACACAAGGAGAGGAAGCACACAAGCAGCACGGGATGCCCAGGAACAAGGGTGACAACGTGTTTAAAATGCAAGAGCGGGGCTGGGGATTTAGCTCAGCGGCAAAAGCGCCTGCCTGGCAAGCGCAAGGTCGTGAGTTCGGTTCCCGGTACCGGAGAAAAACAACAACAAAAAAAACCCAAAAAAAACCCAAATAAGATGCAAGAGCCAGGCATGCTTAGGGGCTGCGAAGGACCAAAGGGGAGGGCGGCGTAGGGTGGTACTGCACAGGACGAGTAGTGGACTGAGGTCCCTGGGCCAGGCGGATGGGTTACCTTAAGGTGCCTGGGGAGGGTGGGCGACTTGGTCCCGGGCGGACACAGCACTATCAGGCCACTGGGATTGCCAGCAGCGGTGCCCACATGGGATAGGCTGAGGAGCTGGAGACTGGTGAGGGCTGGCCCGGTCCGACGCACATGGTGGGCCAAGGGTGAGGCCTCCAGCCTCATCTTCCCCACAGGATCCACCTGATGGCTGGCCGGGTACCCCAGGGAGCTGATGGAGCAGCAGTCAGGGGTGAGATGGAGACAGTTTTCCTGGAGAACTTGAGGCACGCAGCTGGGGTTTTGGCTCAGGTGAGGTGGAAGCATATGCTTGGGGGTTCAGTGGGGAGAGATGAAGCAAAAGGCTGGGCGGAAGGACAGGTGAGGGTGCTGGGCAGTGACTGAGGAGGACAAACGTGTGGAGCTTTACTCACAGCACACAACATGATGCCAGGAGAACCTCGTGGGACTACTGGAGCCCATTAACACCCGAGTCACTGACCCCCGGTACTTCCTGGACACACCCCAGCAGGGTAGGACCCAGCCCCATCCCCTGTCTCTCTTGGCTCTAGTGCTCTCCTTGTCTCACAGCCCCTCCCTGGCCTCTCCCTAGCGGCAGCCATCTTGCAGAAGGTTGGAAGACCCAACCTCCAGTTACAGATGGTGAGTGGAACAAAGGGGCACTTCTCAGAGAGCCTGTTTTCTCCCAGTCTGGGAAGAATGGTGGGGGCCCCTGAGGGGTGACTAGCATTCTCTTCCCCAGGACATATTCCACTGGCAGATCATGGATGGGAACCTGACTGGAAACATCCGGGCGTTCTTGCCCATTGTTGGTGAGGGGGCCCCCTCTTTTCTTTCTGGTCTGCTGTGCTTCCTCGTATACCCTTTAAACCCCCAGTGTCCTTCAGGCTTTGGCAGGAGCCTGGTCCCATGTCTGCCCACCTCTGTCCCCAGGGCATGTGCAGGTAGCACAGGTCCCAGGCCGAGGGGAACCAGGCAGCCCCGGGGAGCTGTGCTTCCCCTACCTCTTCCAGCTGCTGGAAGACGAGGGCTACCAAGGCTTTGTGGGCTGCGAGTACCGGCCTCAAGGTGAGGCTCCTGGGAAAGGGCTCTGGGGGGAAAGGCATTAGACAGGGGCTGTTTTCTCCATGTGGGATGAGATGCCACTGCCTCCCTCTCCCCGCAGGAGACACAGTGGAGGGCCTGAGTTGGCTCCGCTCATACTGGGACAGGCGGGGCCACCCACGGGCTGGCCAGTGAGGTCCTGCATACCACCCACATGCCTCTGGGACAGTGACTGAGCCTCTGCATCTCCTCTGAATTAAAGACAACTTGCTGAATACTTGTACATGTGTATGTTGTAGGGCTGGGGGACACACAGTGTCTAATGCTTCAGTGTCTCTGGGCTGCTTTCCTGCCACTGAAAAGGGACGCATGGCTCATGCTCCAGTCTTCTGGTTGGTGCCAGGGTTGCCACGGAGATGGGGAACTTCTGAGCCTTGTTTACAGAGAGGAACCAAGGGTCCACGTGTAGAAGGGCTTGACACTGGTCACACGTGCTTCAAAGGCAGAGCTGGGACTGGAACCAAGGTTCGTATCTCAATGGTAATGTCAGCAGTGATGTCCAAGTGGGAATGAAGACTAGAGGGTTAAGGGGCATGTGGCTGAGAGTCAGTGAAGGCTGGAAGGCAGAGTTCGGGTAGCGCTTGAGTGGGGAGTACCTGCCACCTAGTGCAAAGAACTCCCAGGATGTCACTGGGGGACAGGAAGGAGTCACCCCCTCTGAAAGGGCTGAGGAGCCTGGGCAGCGCTGGGCCCCTCAGAGCGGACCCGGGCCTCTGGGGTCCTGGGCTGGCCAGCGTCTGGGAGGGCAGGCCCTGCTGTCAGGCGGTGGCGGCACATCCCCAGCCACGGAGCCTCTGGTATCACCGCGGTGAAGCTCACGGGGCCCAGGCCAGTCCAGCCTCATGTGCACAACTCATGGATCCATGAGTCAACAAACCGTGACGTCAGGGGTTCGCTTCCTCAGAGGAGGCGGGTCCACAGGGTGAAACAAGCCGTGTTGATGACGGACTCTAAATGGTGGTAGGTAGAGACCAGCTGTGCAGGGGGGCTCTCGCTGTCCTGAGGCTGCACAGGGAAAGGCTCTCGGAAAACCACCGTCAGAGACTGTGGGGACATGGTGGGGTGCAGTGGTCAGAGAAGGCCAAGGCTGGGGACAGGGAGCTGGGCTCAAGAGTGGGCACCCTGACCCAGTGGGCTCTGAAGTGGAGATGTGAGTTACAGCCTCCCAGTAAGCTCATGCAAAGGTTCCTATTCTTACCGTTTTTCCCAAGTGGGAGTCCAAAAACACTAGCACAAAACAGTCAGTGAACTTCTGATTCAGTACCACCTGTAGTGACAGAGGAAATGGGGTGGAGAGTGAGCTCTGCCTCACCTGAGGTGGCACGGACCTTCTTGCAGGGCAGCGGGTAGACCTGGGAAGACACGCTGAGGCCTCTTTCTACCACACCCAGGTCCCTCAGGGCTGTGTCTCCAAATCAAGCCTCAGTCTGCATTTTTGCTGGCTCACTGGTCAGCCTGCCTGGAGCCAGGCACTCACGCTAATCAACAAAAGGAGGTTCTCAGCCCGCGGCACAGCCTCTCTGAGCTCCCTGAATTGGCCCCTAATGTCTGGCGCTGCGATTCTCCCAAGGCTTCAGTACCTATTCCCAGGGCTGCTGCCTAATCTCTCCTGAGTTCCCGTCTTCCACATCCCCGTATCTAGACAGCGAAGGTGCCCATGGGCCTCAGAGCCAACTGTCCCAAGCGGAACTCTTTTCCCAAGCCCGCCCCTGCTAGCATCCCACAGTCAAGCGTACCCAGCTGCCCACACCACTGCAGCCTTGTCCTGACACACCTCGGCTCTCCAGATGACTCAGTTCTGGAAACAAATCCTCCCCATGAGCACTGTGCCAGGCTGCAATCCCACTCTCATTTGCAGTCTTCTTGTGCGCCTCCTCTCCGGAGCCCAGCTCTCAGCCTTTTAATTCTCCCCCCGCCACTGTAGCTCTTTTGTTTCTATCTATCCCTCACGGCTGTGTTTTCTAACTTTGATGTGCACACAGATCACCGGGGGATGTTGCCGACCTGCAGATCTCTAGTGTAAGGCAGGGTCTGAGTGTCTGCATCTTAGCAAATCCCCAAGGAACACTGCTGGCCTGAGAAGCACATTTTGCATAACCAGGCATTAGCGCCGACAGTTCCCCTCTGGGACTCCAGCCTCTGAGACCACCCAATGATGAAGTTCCAGAGCTCGGCCCCCAGGATCTCAAGCCAGAGTGTGTGTTCCAGTGCGCCTGAGGGCAACGCTCTCAGTGGAGTCTCAGCAGATCATGTGCTGGGGCATGGTGCTTGGTGCTCCAGGGTTTACCATGTGTCTGTGCAGTCCCATTTGATTGAGGCCCCACTCTAGCACACAGCTTGTTTGGTCAAACTGGGGCTCCTAGAGGGGACATCTGTCATCTCTGATGAAGATTTCTGCTCTTCCCCTTTTAGAGGAGGTTCAGGTGACTTACCAAGTACTGAGTTCCCAAGTCTGGGCTCTGGAAATGGCGGCAGCTCTGGGGAAAGCGGTTTAGGAGAACCTTGATCAGGCTCTGGTACCAGGAAACGGTCATCGACAGGAAGCAGTCCTGGGAGAGGGCCATAGGTCTGAATCGGCGGTGCCAGAGTTGGCCGAGACTTTCACCACCACCCCCACACGATCTGTGGAATCCCAGCACCCATCCCAGCCCATTCTGGAGCCCATGGTCCCTTACCAGCTGGGGGTCTATGTCCCCAATGGATTTGGCATGGACTGCCTCAAGGAGCTCCTCCAGCTCTGCCAGGGCCAGGCGCCCCCCTAGCCTCAGTCGGTCAGGCCCTGGTGGCTCCAGCAAGAAGAGGCGCTTCCAGAGGGTATCCCGACGGCAGTGCCCGCCAGCCAGTCGGACCAGCTGAGCCAGCCGTGCCCGGGCCATGCCCACCTCTGCTGCCAGTGGTGGGAACAGGGGAGCTGGGCCAGGGGCTAGCACAAGGCTGGAGGCCTCCCCAGGGCTACCAGCCAAGCTCCCAGGAGCCTCTGGCTCAGGTGGCAGTCTGGGTGGCTTCCGGAACCTGCGCATGTCAGCGGTGAGCCTGGGAAAGAGTTCTCGCTGGCTGGTGAGCACCACGAAGAACTGCAGCCTGCGTGAGGAGGAGCAGGAGTGTGGGACTCCCACCCAGCAGTAGGGGTCCAGGGTGACAGTGAGGGAGGGCTGGAAACGGGTATGTTCAGGGTGGAGAATCTGCTGACCGTAGAACATGCCGCTCGGCTTCTCCTTGCTCCTCAAAGGGTACAGCGCAGTGACAGACAAGCAGAGACACATCAAAGTCGTCCTGATGGCGAAGACCCTCAGAGTCCAGGTAGGAACCAGAGCTGTGCAGCAGGGGTTGGGGTAATGTCAATTCTGAGGTTTCAGTGGAATCAGCCCCACTCCTACCCAAGAAAACGCAAGTCTCCCTCCTGCAAGTATGACCCCACCTCAGCCCCACCAGCGCATCTGTTGGATGCTCTTCCAGCCTTACCTGTGCCATGCTGAGACCAGAGCATATTCATTATGCTCCGGGCCCCCAGGGCGGGCCATGCGCAGTGGTTTCATGTGGTAAGAGCTGGCGTGGTCAGCTACATAGTTGTACAGCTGGTGGGCCGCAATGAGTGGTGTGGGGAGCTCCAATGTCCCTAAGGGGCAAGGTGAAGGAGACAGCAGGTGCTAAGTGTGGGGGGGGCACCCTGAGTCAGGAAGCCTCTGACTGGCACAGTGGCTCAGCTTTCTTGGGGAGCTCCTCAAGGAGGATGCTGAAATGGAGAAAGTGGCCGAGAGCAGAGGGCATAAGCCCCTAACCCTGTATGACGCTGACCGTGAAGAACTTAAGACAGTCACAGACAAGCAGCACTGAGACAAGGCAGGAGTGATCCGAATGGTAAACAAGAGAGGGCTACTTGCCGGGGAGGTGCTCCCACCAGTCCTGGCCTGGAGACACCTTGTTCTTTTTTGGTCTCATTAGTTTGCCCTTGGGCACCGACCTTGGTAAATATGATTGCGGCCGAAGTGGGGTCCGTCGGGGTGGTGGGCCAGGAAGTGCCGTAGGAAGGTGGTAAGGTGGTAGCCGTGCCGCAGGACCAGGTGGGAGCCCAGCACATGCTGGTGCACGAGGCGCAGGTGGAAGTCATAGCTGAAGGAGTGCACGTGCATCAGATCCCGCACTCTGTCGCACTCCTCTGTGAACAGCATGGACAGCTGGGGAGGGCAGCAGGGTGTGGGTTAAGGTGCGGCAGCACAGGCTGCCCATCCACATTTCCTTCCTTCCAGGGAAGAAAAACCCCACAGTTCCTCCCTGTTGCTTGGGCCCAGGGGAAGCCTGCCAGCACAGCTTCTATGCAAAACCCTCCTCTTACTCTCACTTTTTAATGCTGGGTTGTAACACTCCATTTATACAAAAACAGGATCACTTTGAGACACTAAGCCTCCTTTCTCTGTATCCCAGACTCCACCACATTCGCCAGTGTTGCAAATGTCTGCTGAGGGAGTGTCTACTATGCGTTACCAGTGACTGCTCTAGGTACTGGGGACGCAGTGGGAAACAGAAATGACCTCCAACAAAGCTCCCCTCAGGAGCTTACAGTTCAACTCTGGAAGGTTTTAGGATAAAGGACGAAGCACAAAGTACACTAGAAGACGGGGCTGTGGTAAATCAGGCGGCGGTAAGGGGAGGTGCATTTACTATTAGAAACCTTTTCCGGGTTCGTCCCCGCTCTCCAGCTTTTTTTGCCCATCAATCTACCTGCTCCTCCCAAGCACACGTTCTCTCTCCCCTACACACTGCGCCTGTGCCCTTCGCCTGGAATAGGGCTCTCCCTGCCCCAGGTCCAGCTGGCTCCTGCTCATTCCCACAGCTGCCTGTGGAACGCGCAGCCAGGGCGAGGCCGGTGGGTCTCCTGACTGATGGGCTGGCCTGAGTGAACCCGACTGGAGGAGGAAGCAGGCGGAGCATGGAGTGGGTGCTTCTCTTGCTGGAAATCACCACCACCAACATTAACAACTGGCTGTGTGGCACTGGAGAGGCAGAGTCCACCCGGCATCTCTTGGGCCCACAGGGCTTATGAGGCGTAGGACGGGAAACATGCCGGAAGAGAGTCAGACTGGCTGTGCAATCTCGGGTTAGGTCTCAGTCTCTGTACTTCAGTTGCCTTGTCTACCATGGAGATAAGGTACAGCTCCAAAGTTAAAGGCAGTGCGGTGAACTATTGATGACGAGGACGATGAGCCTCAGTATCAGA